AGCGAAGATAAAAACATAAACAAAATAGAAAAATATTGAAAATATTCGAAAAGCAAAGTCTGTGAATTCAGACCTTGTGTATATAATAAAACAGTACGCGCCGAATCGGCTATCGCTCATATTCGACGAGAGTGAGTGGAATAACTGTTAATTAATTGACCCGCGATATAGACTATACACACATTTATTGCAATACACTTCCTTTTATAACTGTAAAATCGTATATGAAGGTGGTTATTCTGTTCAGTTGAATTATGTTACGCCAAATAATTCCAAATTTTTCTTCTTGGAAGTTCAGTAACATAGTCAATATAAGCGTGGACCACATGAAAAAACCTAGTCAACTGACCTATGCTGGATAGTCCTATTAGTCCTAGATTGTTCTTCATATAGGCCCGGTGAAGATCAGCTCTTACCGTTCCATTACTTACAGGGCAAAGGGAATTAATCTACAAGCGCTTTAGACTAAATTTTAATCTAAGTAAGAACAACGAAATATATCACTACAGCTAGAAAGAGCGTCTTGGAATTAGTAATATTACAAAGTTTGGTTGCGAAATGTTGTAAAATACGGAAACTATAGCCCTTCAAAGTTGGCAAATTTGTATACTTTTGTATTACGTGCGTGAATTGGTAACTAAATTAGTTACCAATTTCCGCACGTAATAGAAATGTATACAAATTTGCCAACTTCGCAGGGCTATATTTTCGTAATCTTACAACATTTCGCAACCAAACTTTGCAGTTTTTCTTTGCAGAAAATATCCTTTGTTATTCCCAGATTAAAATTTTTTCTAAAGCGCAAGTCGTCCATTGTCCAGACTTAGATAAACCATCATCTGTCTCTAGTATAAATTGGGCCACTATAATCATGGTACGTTTCAAGCACGGTCGCATACGGCGAGGCTGTCATAGACTTGCAATGGCCATTACTTTCCGATCATACCCGTCAGTTTGCAATGCTGCAAGCATGAAATGCGCGACATCAGCACGCGGTATACTTGCCTTTGTGTTAGTATTACACTGACCTTCTTCAATCTTGTAAGTACGATTACCTGAGGCTGAAACGGAAAAATAGGTACACTAAGGTACATAAAACCATGGCTGGATTTTGAGGGGAGGTACGCACCTCCCCTGAAATCGTTTCGCACCTCCGCTGATAATTTTTGCACCTCCCTTGAAAAGTTATGCGCCTCCCCTTGGGAAAGTTTCAATGATATATCAAAGTGAAAATTTAACATTTTTTTGAAACAGTGAGTAATTGTAATGAAAGGCAAAATTGAATGAGTTGTACAATCATAATTCATTAATACACAGATACATATGTACACAACACATATACGTCATGTCATTGACCATTAATGATAATTACTTGCCTTATCCATTGATAATTTGATGGATTTTACAAATGGGAATAGAATTATCCATCAAGGTTTTTGTAAAAACAATTTCTGTGATTTTCACAAGAAGCTTACCATAAGTTAATTGAGGAGGTCTCACAATGGTGTAATTCATCTCTGCTGGATTTGCACTCTCTATAAAGTCTTCCATAATAGCAATATCACTCAGTATACCACCAAGAAAAAATGGTCTTACTATCCACTCCATGAACCAGGGATTACCTGGACCTTTCTTTGTACACCATGACGTGAGCACAACCAAACGTGATACAGAATGTCTGGTGCAAAAAAGTACAGAATAAATCTCAAGCCCAAATATCTCCTCACTACTGGATTTATAGTGAAATCCAGTGCTCTCACAATCAAATTTTCGAATTCCTTAGAAAAAGCTCGAAAATTCCTCAGATTTCCTTAAAATTCCTTAAATTGGTAAAATTACTACAAGGCCAACCTCGCCGCCTTCAATTCGCGACTAGCCCTGGGTACGAGGTTGCTACAAGGCCTGATCACAGAGTTGCAAAAAGTGTTTTTTTCACCTGATTTACCTGAATTTTTCGAACTGAACGTTCTTTAAAACCGTATTTTTTGAAA